CCAAGAGGTACTTTGAGGAAAAAGGCCTCTTATATAGGAAGATCTTACTGAATCCCTGAAGGGAAGGGGAGAGCCTTTATAAACTACTAATAATACCTTCTAAAATAGGCAGAAAATAATGGGAAAAAGACACGCAGGCACCTTTTCTGGTCATTTAGGTATTACAAGAACTGAGCAAAGAATATCTCAGAATTTCTACTGTCCAAAAATGGGAAAGCAGATAAAAGCATTTTGTCAGAGTTGTGACATATGTGAAAGGCAAGGAAATAGTAATGATAAATCCAATAATGATGAAAAGAATAGTGATAGTTAAAATAATTATATTGTAAAAGTTAATAATAATTTTAAGCAACTGACCCATGAACACAGAGAGATGTCGATAGTTGAAAAAGGGGGTTGGAATGAGATGAACAGGTTAAGGATAGTTTTGTATATATAAGCTCAAAAGGAAGTCAGGGAACACCAAATACAAAAATAGAAGAAAATTGGGAGGAACTAAAGGGGGAGCAAGATCCTAAAACAGTAATTCAATACGTAGATAACTTAAGGAAAACTTTGCAGAAATCCCTAGAGATTGCAGCAGAAAATTTACAGGGCCAGCAACAGAAACAGAAATTATGGTATGGCAGAAAAGCCAGAGAGAGAACATTCAATCCTGGAGATTAGGATCTGATGCTAAGGGAATAAGTTGCAACTAAAGGGAATAAGTTGCAACTAAATTGGGCAGGTCCGTACAGAATAATCTCCAAAATGAATGAAATAAATTATATAATCCAGGAGGAGGGAGAACCAGGGCAAAAAGTGATTCAAGTAAACATGATAAAACCATATTATAGAAGGGAAAACATTGTCCTATTTGCTAGGAAAGAAGCTGACAATGAAAGATATGAATTACACTATTGGGAAGGGAGGGGCAAACCCAAACATAACCCTGAAGATGCCCAAAACAGTCCCATACTTTCCCCACAAGGACAAAAAGAAGCAAGAGCCTTGCTAATGAGATACAAGCAGGTCTTCTAAAAAAAAAAACGGGTAGCACAGGGAGTAGTGCACAAAAGTGATACCGGAGGTGCAACTCCAAAGTGTATACCAAAGTTCAGCAAAATAGTTGTCCCTATATCTGACCTGACACATGAAAAGAAAGATGAAACTATCCAGGGGACAAGCAACTGCAAGGAGGCCTTTGGGAAGCGGAAGGAGGCGTTGATGGCCAGCCAGGTCGTGAGAGAGGTTTAGAGTTCTGGAAGGACTTCACCATCCATGCTGATGTGTCCAGATTCGAACATGGAGCCGTGCTGAGCCAGGCGGACGACAAGGAAGATCATCATCTGGCTACATTCCTGAGTGGAAAGCTGCAGGCTGGTGAGAGACTCCTTGCATCGATGGAACGTGTCACATAAGGGGGTGGTCAGTGCAGAAGATCAGACCATGCGAGTGGAGAGGATATTTTGAACTGTGCACAGACTCATTTCCTTTAATGGAGGTACGAACTGTGAAATCCTATAAGAACAAGCTTGCAAACTGGACCAGGAACTTGCAAGACTTAGAATTTGAAATCCACAGAAAAAGAAAGACTCAAAAGATAGTTGCTGAGGCCTGGGCACGAAGACCTAATGAAGAATAAATGGACTACTGAAAGTAACTGTAAAATGTAACAATATAGTTAAAGTATGTATAAATAAAAGTAATTACAAAGGTAACTTTCTTTTAGATGAAACAATGGTAAAGTATTATAGCAAAGAAATTGAAAGTATTGCAAATGTTGATTGATGCACATTAATGTGATTTTAAATGTGTATTATTATAAGTTCTGTGAAATATTACTAAACTGTTTCTATGTTGTTCATGGAGCAAACCACTGTAGGCTTTACTCCATGGAACAAACTTTCTAAGGGGGAAGGTATGTAGCGAAATGACAAAAGGTGACGTCATTCCTGCCTGTCAATCACAGAAACTCAAGGGGGAGGAGCCAAGGATAGGGCAGGAGGGGCGGAGTTAGAGACAGACAGAAGGACAGTTAGAGAGAGACAGTGGTATGGCAGATAGGGTTTAGAAGGAGAGGGTTAGTGATTTGAGCTGAGAGTTTAGGAGAGGGAATTGAGATAAAAGATATTGAACAAGCAGGAATGAAAGTACAGTCGTGCCCTGCTTTACGATGAAATCGCATTACGACGACGTTCTTGTGATCGCTTTTGCGATGGTCTGAATAGGTTTTTTTCATTTTACGATAATCGGTTCCGCGATGATCGGTTCCCTGCTTCGGGAACCGATTCTTCACACGACGATTTTCCAACAGCTGATTAGCGGTTTCAAAATGGCCACCGGGTAAATAAAATGGCTCCCCGCTGTTTTCTGGGACGGATTCCTTGCAAGACAGCCACCGAAAATGGCCACCCTATGGAGGATCTTTGCTGGACGGTGAGTTTCCAGCCCATTAGAACACATTGAAGGGGTTCAATGTGTTTCAATGTGCTTTTTATTTTCGCATTACATTTTCTTTCTACAGCGATTTCGCTGGAACGAATTAACGTAATGCGAGGCACCACTGTATAAGTGCTACAAGAGAGATATTGATTGAAAGTATATAGCAGTTTGGAATAAAAGTGATTGCCAAATGATCCAATACGTGTTAATACCTGAAAGAGTTTATATGTGATTTACCTTTATGATTTATTTGACAATAAAAGAATACTTAATTAAATCTCTGATTCCTAAGTTCTATAACTCTTAGTTTTGGCATCATACGAGTGCAACATAATTGGTATTAGGAGAATACCTGGTGGCAGCGTGAAGGAAGAAGGGCGCGATCCTTTGTGAGGGCCAAATAAATAGGGGCAACAAGGGAAGATCGCCACAGTAGTTTTTTAAAAAGCATTCTTTATAGCTGACTTGTGGGTTAATACTGTTGATATACGGCAATCTGTAACATTCTACCCACTATGGGTTAATATCTAAAGGACCTCACCTGTTCCTTGTAACCATTTAGGCCTATAAAGCCTTGTGTCCTCTACCCCCCTTTACACTTTCCTTCGATGGTGCTGAGTCACAGAGCGAGGCAGAGACTGTTTTTTTGCTTATGTTTGTGGGTGTTACCTGAGCTGCCACTGCTTTCTTCGTTTACTGTTTGGTATGTTTTTGTAATACAGTGGTGCCTCGTATAACGAGTGCACCGCTGAACGATGAATCCGCATTGCGATGCGGATTTCCCCATCGTTAATGCGAGGGCACGCTCGCATTATGATGGGGGAACAGCTGTTCTGCGGCTCCAAAATGGCTGCCGGAACACAAAAAAATGGGTGCCGGTACACCCAAGATGGCTGCTGGAACAAAAAAAAATGGCCACTGGTACACCCAAGATGGCCACCAGAACACAAAAAATGGGCACCGGTACACCCAAAATGGCCGCCGGGATGCTCAAAATGGCCGCCGGTACACCCAAGATGGCTGCCGGAACAAGGGAAAACATCGGAGAACGGTGAGTTTGGGGCCCATTTGGAACGCATTAAACTTGGGGTTTTTGATCTGTTTTACGATGTTTTCCCATAGCGATTAACCTCGCTATGCGGGGCACCACTGTATAGTTTTAGCACTCTGTTGTTTTCTTAGGATGCCCCATTTACCCTTGTCCTGTCTCAGTGTCTCAACGCCTTTTTTCCACCAAATACTGAGGTAGTTTAAAACACCCCAATAACTGATAGGAAAAAGAAGTAAATGAAAAGATTCATGTGGCTGGACAGAGCCGCAAGTGCAGTTCCCACCACTAAAAAACCCAAAGGAAGTAGCATAGAGAATTCCTGGTCTCATTTCAGATCTTATTAAGTATTAAATGTTAAAGCACATATCTAGAAATGCAATTTCCAAAGTAAATGCAGTTCATTATCCCCATCCTGAAGATTAGTGGTTTGGTTCTGTTTTATTTTACTGGCAGGGAGTGACAGCTCTACAGTGTAATTTGTACTGAAATCGTGCAGGTCAAGTTGAGTAGTTCACTATACAGTTTAAACTTATGGTCTAAGCCCGAGGTAGCCTTCTAAACTAGTTGCAAGGCATGAAAAAAAAAAAAAACAACCACCAACAATCCTGACACTTTATCCACTGTTTTTGCTCCATGTGGTAGATTGGAATGGAATCATTTAGGCAATGAAGCTCCCCCTATAGATTCCATTTCAAAAAATAAACAAATCCTGAGGGTCCTACTCACGTTGGTTACTTTCACAGTCCCCAGACAGTGCAAGCACATGCAAGAATGCTTTTGAGATTACTACAAGGATTACACCGAAAAGGCATAAACGCTTTTCTTGGCAAGTGATAGGAGGAGCAGTTCCCTAACTTTTCAGTTTCGGGGAAGGGGGGGGGGTGTTAAAGCGGAAAAGCAAAAGGATGCTGCTTCGAATTGGCTGTCCCGGTTTAATGCAAGGCGAGTGCATTTTCCGCGCTAAGCTCTGGGTGACACTATCCGCGTCGAGCTGTCCCTTCACTTTCTGAGCAATCGTATAGGGGTAGACCCTATTTAACTCAGCGGGTTTACTTTTGAGTAGCAAGCAAGCATACCTGAGAACAATAATGGTTTATGTCTCCCACGTTTATTTCCGAGCAGCAGCGGTTCAAGTAAGCAATTTTACACTTTGGACTTTCTAATATATGGTGGTGTTGGGTGGAAAAATGAAGTACGTCACTCATTTCAAAACGTCTATGCTGGCCCTGCGGCGTGTAGGTTGGCTTCTGCGCAGTGGGAACCTGGCGCTCTGCCCCACATCCTGTCTCGCGGCCGTGGGAACCCAGGCTGTGGGGACTCAAGACGGAAAACGGAGCCGCCGGCCTCAAAGACCAGGCGCGCCTTGTTCAGCACAGCGCGGGGCCGACCGACTGCAGCGACGGCAAGGGCCACCAGGGGCAGCCGAGAGCGAGCCTTTCCGGAGTTGCGCGCGCACTCAGCTCGGCTTGCAGCGTCATCCTGAGGGGCCGGTTTGAATGAGACCCCGAGGAAGGGAAGCTCCGCGCCGCTTTCCTCCTGCTTCCTTCCTTCCTTCGTTCGCTCGCCAGCGGGCCCGCCCGCGTCCTTCTTGCCCTGCCTCGCTCCAGGTCAGCCTCCCTCGGGCGCCATGCCGATTTTCACAGGTGAGGCCAGCCAGCCCGTCCGTCTTT